GATATATTCACCTTCCACTCATGCTTTACTCCTTAAAGTTCATTTTAAAAATTTTAAAAACCAAACTCTTGATTTTTTTAAGAGAAAAACTAGCATCCATTTCCAGATAATCCCAGGATAAAGTTTCTTTTGGCTCTAACCTTCACATGAAGATGAAAAAATGGCATGTTCCTATCCTTCTCATTTAACCATAACTTTCTAGATTTTTTTTTTCAAATGGATTCTTTGCATCTTAAAGCATCCCATTATTTTTGCACTATTTCATTCTTATCCTCTAGCTCTGTTGGATTCAAGCCCTTACTATTAAAGATATTATCCAACTATTCAATTTTTTCCTCTAGTACCATAATGTTTTCATTGATGTCACCAAAAACCTATCTAATCCACCTCTTAAAAACACTCTTAGAAGGCTTAATTTCTTCATCAAACAGTAACTTGGCCCTTAAGACCTTTTTGTTAATCCATTCCTTCTCAATTTCTTAAAAAAAATTTCTTTTGTCATCTAACAATTTAAAATTTTAAGAGGTTTTTGCCCTTTATTTACTAACTTAAATTGTAACAAAAGTATAACAAGATCGAAAATTAACCTTTTTAGCCCTCTTTAACATAAATCTCTGAACTTATTAACCCATTCTATAGACACTAGGAACCTATCCAATCTACATCTTTTTTACTACCATATTTGAACCATGTAAAGCTCTTACCATTAAGCAATATAAAAATGAGTTCACAAGAATTTATAAACTCATTGAAATCCAAGATCCTAATTTCATCACTAACATAGCCTATCTTCTCCCCCTACGACCTAATTGTGATAAAATTTCTCACTATACACTAATTGATTTTCACTATCTTAAGACACTAAAATATTTTATCCCATAAATTCTTTTTGTCATCTCTATCACAAGGAGCATACACATTACATAAAATACAATCAAAGTCAATCCTAACCTAAAACCTTACCAAATATAACATATTTCTCTTAGAGACATAATCATCCTAAAAGTTTTTTTATCTCATATCATTAACAAACCACCTGAATTACTAGAGGTAGAAAGAAAAAAAAACACGAATCATAATTACCATCTAGCCATACCCTTTTTATCAGCCTATCCAACACATCTTCAAAATTTGTCCCTTAAATTAATGCCACATCAACTTTATGCAAAAGCATGAATTTTTTAAGCACAGTACATTTTGACATACTACCTATCCCTTTTATGTTCCAAGATAATATTCTCATCTTATCTTACAAATCCTCCTATTACTCATAAACCCCTACCCACACAAAAACTACTCACCCTAACATACCTGACTTTTTAATCCTTTTCCAATCCCGATCTTTAAACTTTTTTAGTTTTTCAATCACAACGTCATCTTTGTTACTTGTCAACATCCCAAGACTCTTTCTTATTTTGAAAATATTTATCTGATAATGAGGTGTTTGCAATTGGGCCTTTCACTTTCTTCGCAACTTTACAATTCTTAAGAATTTTTCACTTTTTCCCCTCATTTTTCTTTCATAAAATCTACTAAGGATCTTTTTATTAATAGATACGAATATTCTATCTCTTCTTTTTTTATTATTATTATTTTATATTTAACTTATAGTTGTTTGAATTTTTTTTAGTAAAACGTGATTGTCTTTCAAACCCAACAGGTAACTATTTTCCTTCATGGACTCTACATAGTTGGGCTCATCATAGTTAGGCTTAAAATCCCCTTTTAGGCCAACTTAAGATCTATTAAATCTTTGTAATTATTGAACTAGTTAGGCCCAATGCACTATCTTTGACTGTACCCTTTAGTACACTTTCACATTTTCCTAACTCTTTCCCACAATGACTTTTACCTTATAAAACCTCTCACATCTTTACCTATCCCACTTTTTTTCAAAACTAAGTCAAACCTCGTTCAGAATGACCAATCTATCTCTATCCCAACATTCTTTTACAATTTTTATTTCATCCAACCTATCAATCTCATGCAGATATTCATTTTCGTTGAGTACCAACATTATTTCCTCGGACTCAACCATAACTTCATCAGATGCAATAAATGCATCATCTATTTCTTGCCTTTCCATGGTCCCATACGATTATTCATCTCTTTTAACCTTAGAACTTTCATGTTTTATACTTTCTTATTGATTAGAATCACCATCATTGCCACATCTATTATTGAAACCCTTATAGCAACAACAAAGCAATGATAAAAACTCCTCGCCAACTTCTAAAACTCCAATATGGTAAGTTTTTTCATTGCACTTTAAATCAATTTTCTAATCTATTTTATCAAGAGGGTCAGTCATCAAACTCATCGCACCCCAACTAAAATCTTTATACCAAAGGGTCTTACCATTAAAACTTAAGAGCTTTCCCTCCTATATTCACAATATTCTTAAAAGTTGAGTAATTTTACACATGCAATAAAACTCCAAAGCACTTAACCTATGTTACTTGATGTTTTCACTAAATCTATTATGTCCATGGCTCTAGGCTTACAAACCATTCTTTCAACCATAACTAACCTAGATTTTTCATAGTTTCATTGTTTTTAGTTCTTCAAACTTAATAAGTACTATTTCACTGAGATTTTTCTTCTTGTAATATCAAAAACTCCGTTTATTTTAAAATTCTCCATCAACCTATATGTGTCATAGCATACCATTTAATTACACCAACCAAATACTTTTCTAATCTCATAATTGTCTCTTTTTTTACTACTCCATAACACCACCTTACCTATGCTAAACCCACACCAATCTTCTTAGGTTGAACATTCCTAATACTTCATTGCCCTCTTATCCTCCCATTTTATTGCTCATCAACGCCTGGAGATAAGTTCTATGTCTTTAATGTACACCATTACTCACATATTCTTTATTACTACTCCCATTTCCTGTTGACTCTCATTTCTACCTTAGTCCATTTTGTTTTTTTTTTTTGTTTTATTTATTGAATTATTTAGAAACTAGAAACTTTAGGCAAGACACTAGTGTATGATATTGACTAACACAAACAAATTAACAAAGATGAAGAAACTTTAGGCAAGACACTAATTTTTACACTTATATGCAAATTAACTCTTGAAAATGTTATCTTCAAGATACATTATCTAAATCCTAAATAATAAGATTTCACTTCAAATATTTTTTTAACACACTTAAACCAAACATAAAAAATGAATACGAGAAAGAATAATTTAAATCTTCAAGTGATTGCATGTAAAATTATGTTAAATGAACACTAATATAAGTATTTATAAGTTTAATCGATGTTTGAAATACTCTTTTATGAATAAATCTCGTAGATGATGGAGTATATCTTCATTTTTTTTACCACCACATCTAAGACATGTATGCTACATTTTAAGCATAAGATAACTTGAAGGATAGGATATTAATTATCTTATCACATGTTTGTTATACACTTAAATAAAATGATTGGATTATTGAAAGGATTAGATATCCTATGCCAATAGGATAACTCTATCCTTCAAAAAAGTAAATGATTGTTTTCAATCCATAGAATTAGATAGTTTATCCAAATTTTTAAATAATAAATTTTTTATTCTACTCTTAAATTTAAAAACTTAAATTTTAAATTATCAAATATTTGAATATATTATCCACTCTCTAAATTTTCTTCGCTCTCCATCAATAGAGAAAATCCATTTATTCTCTACAAAAAAAATACTCTATTTTTCAAACTTTCCAACTTTGCTAATTTGTAATTTATAATTTTTTAATTACAAATTTTGTAATTAAAAACTTTGGTATTTTTTAAATTATAAGCTATAAGCTTTTTAATAATTTTTTAATATTAATAATATTTAATTTTATTTGAATTTATATTTATTTATTATTTATTTGATGTATTTATTTGTTTATTATGAGTATTTTTTACGTCAAAATTATTAAAGAAATTTATCAATTAAAAAGGTATTTGGGTAACTTTTAATTAATTGATAGATGATCTCTAAAAAATTAATT